TTAATGGAGTCTCGCCTCTGTCCTGGAAGATAATTCACTGTGTATGTCTGTGATTGGTCAGTGTACCATTTGTGTCCCAGTCTTCCATCTGGTCCCCTAGGGGAGTGTCCACCAGGTGGAAAACCTGCATAAATACCGGGCAGGTAGCCCCATTAAACCAGAGCACTGCTTGACCCTCAACACAGAGACTTGTCTCGTTATTGGGAGGATTTATTGTATGCTGTTTCCAGTTCGACTGCTAGGAGTAAACCTTTCGTATGGTTTATTCCTGTTCGGCTGTTTATAGCATTCGTATGGTTCCGGTTTGGCTGTTTGGAGAATTTGTGTGGTTTCCTGTTCGGGAGATTGGTGTATGGAGTAGCTGCCTGTGTAGCTGGAAGAGAATATCCTCTAAACTGCGTTTTAACCCTTTTATGCCTGGGAGTGCCGTTACACATATTAGATCATAAGGACAGTACTAGTCTCCCTGCTAGTGTAAAATAAAATAAAAAATAAATGTTAATAAAAAAATAAAATTATATTTGATATATAGATAAATATTTATATAATATATGTCTCTATATCACATATATAATGTAATACTAAGTGTATTTTTATATTAATATAATTACGCACGTATATATATATATATAACTTATATAATAACTATATATTGTATATATATTATAAAATACAAGTAATAAGTAATATAAATGAAATAAAAAAGTGAAAATAATCATTAAAAAAAATATACATCGTGATACTTGGCGTATGGAGGATAATTTGTTAAAATCTAAGATCAATCTTGATATATTGGAAAAACAAATAGTAACCTTTTTTCTTGAAAATGATCCTAATGACACCTCTTATATAAACAATTGGTGTGCTTTTAAATCCACCATGAGAGGTAATATAATAAGTATGCAAACAAGATATAAAGTAGAAAATAATAGAATTTTTCTGGTATTACAAGCAGAATTAAAAATGATCGCAAGTAAGAATAAGCAGTCTCCTTCTAAAGAAAATGCAGATGAACTGAGAAGCATTCAGAATAGAATTAACAATTAGAAAGATATATAACACAATGCGGTTCGTCTGCCTATGTCATAGGGACTAACCACACATCTGGAAATGTCTATCGCAATATAGCGTCTAATGGAAAAATAACTAAAGACCCAAAAACAAAAAAATCTAATAAAGTATATACAAATGTGACTCAAATTTCATGCCAGATAGAGGGGGTATGTGTGGGGATAAAATTGAGCCATCCAATATGCTATCAAAAACCCTAAATTATCTGCTTTATTAAATTGTGGCACTATAGGGGTATGAAAAGCAGACGGCTATGTCCCCAACTGAATACCCCACTCCAAATTGTCAATAGTTAGTATAAAAAAAATGCTCACGATAGGGCTAGTAAAGGTAAAGTGGGGAGATAGACGATGAAAAACAGATCAGTATTCAGTCTAAAAGCAGACTGGTATTAGCATTTAAACAAAGCCTCTCTCCCTGTAAATCTAACTAGACAGGCATAGGAAATAAATAAGAAAGAAAGTAAGTGTTAAATATAAATCATGGTGCTAAAGTCACCAGTGCCCAGTGCTCATATGAAAGATATGAGAAGGAGATGCCCGACGTACGTTTCGGTGCTACAGAAGAGCACCTTCGTCAGGGGCCAACAGAAGACTAGTTAAGGGTCTATTAAATACAAGAGTTATGAGGAGGCATGGATGTCTTGGACCAATAGGAGCTGGGGGTGTACATACCCAGCTGTGTGTAATCTCCAATACCATGTTCATGTCCTGGTGAATCACGGAGTGCGTCTGGGGGCGGGACTAAATGCCGAACACGTGACCGGGTATGCTGGATCATGTGTTTTGGCCGGCCGAACGGAAAGCCGGCAGGGTCACGTCATGGGCGTCATTAGGTATGTAAATTATGCGGCAAGCCTCTATTACGGCTATATGTTACTCCGCCTCTCACAAGTAGGTGGGCGGCTACACATCAGGCTGGAAGACGCATTCAAAGGCATTGACAAAAATAATAAATCGAAGTTACCAATATACAAGTAGAGGGGAATCAGGGATTTGTATATGGACAAAGAAGTCCATAATAAAACATCCCTAAATACCCCCTAATACATCTATCACTGTGTTCTCTATAGGGTATAGCACCCATATCACACTGAGACGGAGAATATCTAGATCATAAAGATACAAGGTGATTGCTCAGATGTATCGACTACAAGAATTATAATCAGCATTATGAACCCAGTATATATATAAAAAAATGATAGTAGTGGTTCAACAGGGACTCCTGAAACCAAATAATATTACAGACAGATAACCCATAAGGGTAAATATTCAGTTCTGATAATACAACTCATTATGAAGGCCTCCCTATAGTATCCAGTATATGAGTACAAGGTAGGAGCTAACTAAGTATATGGATTTCCATATTCTTAAGATGCTCAGATGTCTCGATATAAATATAGATATTCCATAGTGTTCACCTGGAGTCTGGACATACAGAACACACAGAGCGAGGTATGCCGATCTACCATTGTCACGAATGTGTGTATGGAACGTTAGATTAATATGGTCGTAAGGTGACATCCATGTCTACAAGAAATAGTCAAAATAATAAAGGAATTACTAAAGGAAAATTAATTATATTTACATATAAATAGATTAAACACTACACACGCTATACTACAAAATTTACAAGTGTATCCGACATAATCAGCTATTTAATGAAAAATGTAAATACAAACATATCGTATATGAGTCATAAGAAAGAGATGGGGGCGAGAAACAAAGTATGTTTAATTGCCACGGTAACTAAGCAGCAATAAAGGGTGTATAGGAAAAACCCTCGTTTAACCCATATGGTGCCAATGTTTTGAGTTTATAAATCCAGAAGCTCTCTCTTTGGAGTAATTTTTTGTCTAGGTCTCCTCCTCTTGGACCGAGTGTAACCCTTTCAATGCCACAGAATTTAATCCCTGATGGGGATCCCCCATGAAAGAGCTTGAGATGTTTAGAAATTGGAGTATCAATTTGTCTTCCAGGATTAACTGAATTAACATGTTCCCTAATTCTGAGTTTAAATTTACGGAAGGTTTTTCCCACATATAACTTATTGCACGAGCATATAAGTAAATATACTAGACCCTTAGACTGACAATTGAAAAAAGTACGTGCTTTAAATTCTTGTGTGCCTGAAGAGTCTGTAAATGTTTTAGAGGGTCTATGTATAAATTTGCATGCCTTGCACCTACCACATTGATATGTGCCTAATACAGGAGACTTCAACCACGAGGGTTTTGGAGGTGCTGTCTTGAGATGGCTAGGAACTAGAATATCCTTGATATTACGCCCCCTTCTTGCTGTTACTGATGCCTTGGGTGTAATCACCCTATGAAGGTGTGGATCTTGATGAAGAAGGGGCCAAAACCTATCAAGGATACTCATAATTTGATGCCAACCTGCGTCAAAGTTGCCTTTACATCTGATAATCTCTTGTGTTGAATCTACCTTTCTCTCACAAAGGAGATCTTTACGGTCTGCCAATAGTGCCCGTTTGTATGCATTTTTTAAACATTTATTTGGATACCCCTTTTGTTTAAACTGATATTGTAAAGTCTTTGCCTTCAGTTTAAAATCTTCTACGGTAGAGCAGTTGCGTCTTAATCGTAAATACTGTCCAACTGGAATCCCTTTTTTCAGGGAAGGTGGATGGTAACTTGTCCAGTTCAACAGGTTATTGGTTGCCGTAGGTTTCCGAAAGAGGGTAGATGTAAGAGCCCCTCCATCTGACAGGGAAATGGTGAGGTCTAAAAAATTAATTTTATTACCACCAATTTCACTCGTCAGTTTCAGATTAATATGATTTAAATTTAAATTGTTGACAAACTCTAGAAAGAGTTCAGAGGTGTCTGTCCATATGATCAGTACATCATCGATGTATCTTTTCCATATTTGTATATGTTTTGTATATTTTTGCATACGTTCATTAAACACCATACTGCTCTCCCACCACCCCAGGTGGAGGTTAGCATATGAGGGGGCACAAGCCGTCCCCATAGCCGTTCCTCTCACCTGGTGGTAGTATTTTCCCTGGAAGATGAAATGGTTGTGTGTTAAAATGAACTGCATCAGATCATGGACAAACTCATTATGTCTTAGGGAAAACATTGGTTTGTTATCCAAAGTTGCTCGAAGGTGTTGTAGACCCACTTCGTGTGGTATTGAGCTATAGAGGCTCTCCACGTCGAGGCTACAAAGGATAGCATGACCAGTAATTTTAGTCTCTTCTATGATATTTAGTGTATGTTTAGTGTCTTTTAAGTATGAAGGAAGTTCAAACACAAATTTCCTTAGGATCTGATCAACATAAAGACTTATATTTTGGGTGAGATTCCCTCTACCAGAGACTATAGGTCTTCCATTTAGTATGGGTTGCTGTTTATGCACTTTCGGAAGTGCATAAAATGTGGCGGTGACAGGATTCTTAACAAACATGAAATTATATTCGTCCTTAGATATTAGGGATAAGGACAATGCCGTGTCAAGAATTGTTTTTAATTCAGCAAGATATTTTTGTGTGGGGTCACCCTTTAGTATTTCATATGTCTCCCTATCTCCAATTAATCTGTGAACCATTGAAACATAATCTGGTTTGTTTAGAATGACCGTGTTGCCTCCTTTGTCAGAGGGTTTAAAAATCACCTCCTCCATATCTCTCAATTTTTCAAGTGAAATACTTTCTTGTGGAGATATATTGCTATTAGGCTGAATTGGCAAGTCTCTCTGGTTGATTTTGTCAATTTCGTTGCATGTCAACTCCACAAATAGGTCTATGTACTTGAAATCCACTAGATGTGGAGTGAACAGGCTTTTCTTTTTCAATTGTGTGAATGGAGGTTGTTTTTGTGTAGAATTCTCATTACAGGTGAGCAGATCAACTAATATATCCAGTGCCCCTATGTCCGAGGCTTGTAGCCCTAGATCTTTAGCCCTTTTATCATCTTTCATCTGGTGAAATTTATGCAGAGCCAATTTTCTTGCAAAAAGGTGTATGTCCTTTGTCCAACCAAATTTGTCAAAATTAGAAACTGGGACAAAGGACATACCCCGTCGCAAGATCTGTAGCTCTACTTTTGTGGGAGTGTAAGAAGACAGATTGATAATCTGATTATCAAGAGGGGCCTGATCTAATATATTTTTCTTCTGAACTGTTGGGGTGGTCTGCCTCTGTTGCGTGTCCGTGGGGCTAGATTTTCTTCCATGGTGGGTTGTCCTAAAAAAGAAACCCCTCTTTTAAATATACTCTTAGTATTCCGTTCAAATGGAACTGAAGGTCCCCCCTTTGCTGATTCTGAATCCGAACCACTCGTCTCATATTCTGATGTAGATATAGGTTCAGAAAAGCTCCTCCTAAAGTTTCTATTTTTCTTGTATACATTCCCACTCTTGAAATCATTGTTGTCTCTAATAAACTTGGAGTGTTTCCGAATTTTAATATTTTTCTGGAATTTGTCCAAGTTATTTTTAAGTTTTGTCTCCAATGATTCAAAGTTTGGTTCGTCTTTAAAGGCTGCAATCTTATTAATCTGCTCATCCACCTCCTTATTAACTCTTTCTAGTCTTTTTGTTTCAAATTTGCAAAGTATCTCCATAAATCTCTTAGAGCATATTGCTGCAGCTTCCTCCCACTCTTTGGTAAATTCCTCCTCATCTATATGGGATGCTGGTATATTTTGTATCCTTAGACCCCTAGGGATAAGATCTTTCTTTAAATAGTTGTCAAGTGATGCAATTTCCCATCCTGTTTTGATCTGTTGCTGAAACAGGTTGGTCAAACGATTAAATGATGAGATAATATTATCACTATCTGACACATTAGTTAGTTCTTGTTCTGAAAAAACCTGGTCTGTGTCTCTACACCACACATCTCTTTTGGACTTATCAAATAAAAAGCTAGCCATGATACACAGGGATGGTACTAGGTATTAAAACCTGACACTAAGAAAAAAAGAAGAATAAAAGAAGAATAATGAACACACGGTTCGAATGTCTCTGTGTATACACCCGTGGACAACCCACCATGGAAGAAAATCTAGCCCCACGGACACGCAACAGAGGCAGACCTCCCCAACAGTTCAGAAGAAAAAGATATTAGATCAGGCCCCTCTTGATAATCAGATTATCAATCTGTCTTCTTACACTCCCACAAAAGTAGAGCTACAGATCTTGCGACGGGGTATGTCCTTTGTCCCAGTTTCTAATTTTGACAAATTTGGTTGGACAAAGGACATACACCTTTTTGCAAGAAAATTGGCTCTGCATAAATTTCACCAGATGAAAGATGATAAAAGGGCTAAAGATCTAGGGCTACAGGCCTCGGACATAGGGGCACTGGATATATTAGTTGATCTGCTCACCTGTAATGAGAATTCTACACAAAAACAACCTCCATTCACACAATTGAAAAAGAAAAGCCTGTTCACTCCACATCTAGTGGATTTCAAGTACATAGACCTATTTGTGGAGTTGACATGCAACGAAATTGACAAAATCAACCAGAGAGACTTGCCAATTCAGCCTAATAGCAATATATCTCCACAAGAAAGTATTTCACTTGAAAAATTGAGAGATATGGAGGAGGTGATTTTTAAACCCTCTGACAAAGGAGGCAACACGGTCATTCTAAACAAACCAGATTATGTTTCAATGGTTCACAGATTAATTGGAGATAGGGAGACATATGAAATACTAAAGGGTGACCCCACACAAAAATATCTTGCTGAATTAAAAACAATTCTTGACACGGCATTGTCCTTATCCCTAATATCTAAGGACGAATATAATTTCATGTTTGTTAAGAATCCTGTCACCGCCACATTTTATGCACTTCCGAAAGTGCATAAACAGCAACCCATACTAAATGGAAGACCTATAGTCTCTGGTAGAGGGAATCTCACCCAAAATATAAGTCTTTATGTTGATCAGATCCTAAGGAAATTTGTGTTTGAACTTCCTTCATACTTAAAAGACACTAAACATACACTAAATGTCATAGAATAGACTAAAATTACTGGTCATGCTATCCTTTGTAGCCTCGACGTGGAGAGCCTCTATAGCTCAATACCACACGAAGTGGGTCTACAACACCTTTGAGCAACTTTGGATAACAAACCAATGTTTTCCCTAAGACATAATGAGTTTGTCCATGATCTGATGCAGTTCATTTTAACACACAACCATTTCATCTTCCAGGGAAAATACTACCACCAGGTGAGAGGAACGGCTATGGGGACGGCTTGTGCCCCCTCATATGCTAACCTCCACCTGGGGTGGTGGGAGAGCAGTATGGTGTTTAATGAACGTATGCAAAAATATACAAAACATATACAAATATGGAAAAGATACATCGATGATGTACTGATCATATGGACAGACACCTCTGAACTCTTTCTAGAGTTTGTCAACAATTTAAATTTAAATCATATTAATCTGAAACTGACGAGTGAAATTGGTGGTAATAAAATTAATTTTTTAGACCTCACCATTTCCCTGTCAGATGGAGGGGCTCTTACATCTACCCTCTTTCGGAAACCTACGGCAACCAATAACCTGTTGAACTGGACAAGTTACCATCCACCTTCCCTGAAAAAAGGGATTCCAGTTGGACAGTATTTACGATTAAGACGCAACTGCTCTACCGTAGAAGATTTTAAACTGAAGGCAAAGACTTTACAATATCAGTTTAAACAAAAGGGGTATCCAAATAAATGTTTAAAAAATGCATACAAACGGGCACTATTGGCAGACCGTAAAGATCTCCTTTGTGAGAGAAAGGTAGATTCAACACAAGAGATTATCAGATGTATAGGCAACTTTGACGCAGGTTGGCATCAAATTATGAGTATCCTTGATAGGTTTTGGCCCCTTCTTCATCAAGATCCACACCTTCATAGGGTGATTACACCCAAGGCATCAGTAACAGCAAGAAGGGGGCGTAATATCAAGGATATTCTAGTTCCTAGCCATCTCAAGACAGCACCTCCAAAACCATCGTGGTTGAAGTCTCCTGTATTAGGCACATATCAATGTGGTAGGTGCAAGGCGTGCAAATTTATACATAGACTCTTCAGGCACACAAGAATTTAAAGCACGTACTTTTTTCAATTGTCAGTCTAAGGGTCTAGTATATTTACTTATATGCTCGTGCAATAAGTTATATGTGGGAAAAACCTTCCGTAAATTTAAACTCAGAATTAGGGAACATGTTAATTCAGTTAATCCTGGAAGACAAATTGATACTCCAATTTCTAAACATCTCAAGCTCTTTCATGGGGGATCCCCATCAGGGATTAAATTCTGTGGCATTGAAAGGGTTACACTCGGTCCAAGAGGAGGAGACCTAGACAAAAAATTACTCCAAAGAGAGAGCTTCTGGATTTATAAACTCAAAACATTGGCACCATATGGGTTAAACGAGGGTTTTTCCTATACACCCTTTATTGCTGCTTAGTTACCGTGGCAATTAAACATACTTTGTTTCTCGCCCCCATCTCTTTCTTATGACTCATATACGATATGTTTGTATTTACATTTTTCATTAAATAGCTGATTATGTCGGATACACTTGTAAATTTTGTAGTATAGCGTGTGTAGTGTTTAATCTATTTATATGTAAATATAATTAATTTTCCTTTAGTAATTCCTTTATTATTTTGACTATTTCTTGTAAACATGGATGTCACCTTACGACCATATTAATCTAACGTTCCATACACACATTCGTGACAATGGTAGATAGGCATACCTCGCTCTGTGTGTTCTGTATGTCCAGACTCCAGGTGAACACTATGGAATATCTATATTTATATCGAGACATCTGAGCATCTTAAGAATATGGAAATCCATATACTTAGTTAGCTCCTACCTTGTACTCATATACTGGATACTATAGGGAGGCCTTCATAATGAGTTGTATTATCAGAACCTGTTGAACCACTACTATCATTTTTTTATATATATACTGGGTTCATAATGCTGATTATAATTCTTGTAGTCGATACATCTGAGCAATCACCTTGTATCTTTATGATCTAGATATTCTCCGTCTCAGTGTGATATGGGTGCTATACCCTATAGAGAACACAGTGATAGATGTATTAGGGGGTATTTAGGGATGTTTTATTATGGACTTCTTTGTCCATATACAAATCCCTGATTCCCCTCTACTTGTATATTGGTAACTTCGATTTATTATTTTTTTCAATGCCTTTGAATGCGTCTTCCAGCCTGATGTGTAGCCGCCCACCTACTTGTGAGAGGCGGAGTAACATATAGCCGTAATAGAGGCTTGCTGCATAATTTACATACCTAATGATGCCCACGACGTGACCCTGCCGGCTTTCCGTTCGGCCGGCCAAAACACATGATCCAGCATACCCGGTCACGTGTTCGGCATTTAGTCCCGCCCCCAGACGCACTCCGTGATTCACCAGGACATGAACATGGTATTGGAGATTACACACAGCTGGGTATGTACACCCCCAGCTCCTATTGGTCCAAGACATCCATGCCTCCTCATAACTCTTGTATTTAATAGACCCTTAACTAGTCTTCTGCTGGCCCCTGACGAAGGTGCTCTTCTGTAGCACCGAAACGTACGTCGGGCATCTCCTTCTCATATCTTTCATATGAGCACTGGGCACTGGTGACTTTAGCACCATGATTTATATTTAACACTTACTTTCTTTCTTATTTATTTCCTATGCCTGTCTAGTTAGATTTACAGGGAGAGAGGCTTTGTTTAAATGCTAATACCAGTCTGCTTTTAGACTGAATACTGATCTGTTTTTCATCGTCTATCTCTCCACTTTACCTTTACTAGCCCTATCGTGAGCATTTTTTATATACTAACTATTGACAATTTGGAGTGGGGTATTCAGTTGGGGACATAGCCGTCTGCTTTTCATACCCTTATAGTGCCACAATTTAATAAAGCAGATAATTTAGGGTTTTTGATAGCATATTGGATGGCTCCATTTTATCCCCACACATACCCCCTCTATCTGGCATGGAATTTGAGTCACATTTGTATATACTTTATTTGATTTTTTTGTTTTTGGGTCTTTAGTTATTTTTCCATTAGACGCTATATTGCGATAGACATTTCCAGATGTGTGGTTAGTCCCTATGACATAGGCAGACGAACCGCATTGTGTTATATATCTTTCTTGTTGTTTTTCTTGGGGTTAAGCCCCGCTTGGGATCTCTGGAGTCCCATATTGGTACACTGGTCTCTGTGGGGCATCTGTCGGTACACCCTGGGTTTTGCCCCCGGGGGGTAGTTCTGTACGGGTGTATACACAGAGACATTCGAACCGTGTGTTCATTATTCTTCTAGAATTAACAATTTTCTGATAGCAAAGAATGCAAAACTAATGAATAAACTCAAAGCAAATTACTATTATAAGGGGAACCGAGCAGACAGAATCATGACAAAAAAATTAAGAGATAAAATTGGATCTAGCAAAATAGTAAAGATAGTGGACGAAGATGGGGTATATCTAGAACCAAAAAAAATAGGTGAGAGATTTAATAAGTATTATGAGGCTTTGTACAATCTAACTCCCCCGATAATAAAGGAAGAGGATTATTTGAGTAAAATTAATACACCCAAATTTACATTAGAACAAAGCAATAAGCTAAATACTTTAATTACAGTCCAAGAAGTAGAGGCAGTAATAAACAAATTAAAACCAGATAAGACGCCAGGTCCAGATGGTTTTGCAAATATATTTTATAAATCTTTTAAAAACATTATAGTTCCCCATTTAACAAATATGTTTAACGAAATTATATCAGTTGGCAAATTTCCTACCGAAATGCTGAATGCAAATATTCTTCCAATCCTAAAAGATAATAAAGATCCTTTAAAGGTGGAGAATTATAGACCCATCTCCTTAATTAACACAGATGTTAAGATCTTCTCATCAGTTTTGGCTTATAGACTCAGGGGATTAATGGAATATATAATTAAAAATGATCAAATTGGTTTTGTACAAGGCAGAGATCCGGTAGATAATTCTAGAAGATTATTGGATTTGATAGATGCATCTAGGAGAAATAATAAATCTTTATTTGTACTGGCTGTAGATGCCGAGAAAGCTTTCGACAGAGTCGGTTGGGACTTTTTAAGGAAAACTATGGAAAAATTTGGAATCCAGGGCAGGATGCTTAATGCTATTTTAGCACTATATGAAGGCCCAAAAGCAAGAACAGTGGCCCCAAACATATGTGCAGAGTGGTTTACACTAAAAAATGGCACGAGACAGGGCTGTCCTCTGTCGCCTATTTTATATATTATGACAATGGAGATTTTAGCTATCAATATAAGAGATAACTCTCAAATTAAAGGATTTAGATACAGAGAGAAAGAATTTAAATTGAATCTATATGCGGATGATTTAATTTTGACCCTAACCGACCCTGTCGAATCGCTTAGTGCTCTGATGGAAGAGATAGACAAATACAGTCTGATTTCAAATTATAAAATAAATGCAACGAAATCCACTTTTTTAGCTATAAATATTCCTAGAGACTCTATCCAACAAATTAAAGATAAATACAAATTTAATTGCGATAAAAACAGGTTATCTTATCTGGGTATAATGCTTACTGATGACTTAAAAGATACGTTGCAAATAAATTTTTTGAAAATATTTAGATTGACACATGAATCATTAAATAGATGGAGACATATTGAACTTTCCTGGTGGGGTAGAATTAATTTGGTCAATTCGTACTTACTACCTAAATGGTCTTATCTATTCCGCATGATCCCTTTGAGAATGCCACAACCATGGTTATCTATGATACAACGAGATATAAACAATTTTATATGGAAAGGAAAAAGGCAGAGGATGAATAAGCATATTTTGATGCAGAAGAGCAGGAAAGGAGGGATAAACTTCCCAAATGTCAACATAACTTATTTAGCTAATATGATGTCTCAGATATATAAGACGCAACTATTAAGTTCAGAGGAAGCTGGTTGGTATCAATTAGAAATGGAGATGGTAGAAATGGAAAATTTACATCAATTGATTTGGCTAACTAAACAAGATGAAAGAATTAAAAAGGCTTGTACCTCTAATAATTGTTTGAAATCAATTCTAATGGAGTGGGAAAGGCTGAGGAATAATAGTGGAATTCGTAATAAAATATTGGGAAATTTTAACTTTAGTATTATACAACTAAGGATGAAAGATTTAAATATTAGTGAATGGACAAGGAGAGGAATTGACTATATAAATCAAATAATATCGTGGGATAAAATTAAATCATTTGAAAATTTGATACAAGAATTTTCACTACCTAGGAATGAGTGGTATAATTATTTAAGAATCAGAGGCTTTATTAAACAATTTTTGTTACACCGACCTATAGCGGGTATAGAAAATTTGATAGTTCTATTAAGAAATGAGAATGTACCGCAAATAGTTTCAAAGGCAAGGATTGCTCTTCTTCAACTTGAAGCACCAAATTTAAATATAAACATTCAAAAATGGAGTAAAGAGTTAAATGTACAGATTCTTAAGTCTGTATGGGATCAAGTTTTATACCAAACAAGTAAAATAATTCATTGTCTGAACCTTCTTGAGGTATTATTTAAATTAATGAACCGCTGGTATTTAGTTCCCACCAGATTGTCCAAAATGTATACTCCTAATTCCTCAATGTGTTGGAGATGCAATGATAAAGATGGGACTTTTGGACATATATGGTGGGATTGTAGTAAGGTGAAAATTCTGTGGTTTATGGCTTTTGAATCATTGGAGTATATTACAGAAATAAAAATCCCTAGAGGTCATCATAATGGTCTATTTCACTTAAACTTGCAATCACTCCTTTTTA